TCTTCTTCTTCTTCTTCCTCTTCCTTTTTTTTTCTTCTTTTCTCTCCTTCGTTTCTTTGTTGCAGGTCCGTGGCGTGGAAGTGGGGATAGTCGTGTTGGTGTTGATCTTTTGGGCGGGCGCGATAGCGTTGTTCTTCAATCGTTGGGGCAAGATTCGTATGTTGTTGCCGTATCAACCCGATTACAAGGAACAATTGAAAGTTCCTGGGACTGGGGTGTGCGCAGCGGCGAACGCCGCGTACACGCAACATCCCACTCAGCACACCTGTTCTCAGGTAATACGCACAATTGTATACGTCTTTTTATCTTTTCCACCGTTTTCCATCGTTTTATCCTTCCGATGATGATAATGATGATGATGATGATGATGATAATAATAATGATAATAATAATAATAATAATAATTTTCGATACGCGATTCGATCTATCGGAAATGGAGTTGCGAGCTTACTTTTCCAGGAGAAGAAAAACAGCCGATCGATTTCTTTCCGATTGTTTATAGAACACTGTCACGACATAATCCCCGTCACGAATGTCTCGTTTCGTACGCTCGCTCGCGTCTCGATTCAATTATTCGATCCGTTCGAGCGACTCGCCAAGAGAATATCTGGTTGAAAATTTCTGGAATTTTCGAAAATTGGTTATTAAATGTAATTATAAAAGGGCGTTTAAAGGATTTCCGTTTGAGCGAATTTTTTATCTTTGGTCGGAGAGAAGGAAGTATCGTTTTGTAAGAGCGACGATCGAATAATTGAAATTGGTATTATAAATTTTATATATTTTTGCCGTGTGTTTAAATTATCGGGTGGGTGGGGGCGAAACGCGTAATTTCCACGAAAATGAAATATATAGGAAAAAAAAAAAACTATACTAAATTTACTTGTATCACCATTTGACATTTCATGGAAGTTAAATTAATAATAAACGTCACGCGAGGTATTCTCTCGAGCCTGTGATGCAGCCTGACGAGCGACGCAACGTTATTACGATTTCACACCGGCTAACTTGGCGCGATTCGATTTATTCGTAATCCTCCGTTTTCCATTTTTTTTTTTTTTTTTTTTAATCTCTTTCTAATCGCCTCCGAACGATTTATAATTTCGATCGTAGATACCGTTCGAACGCGACCAACGATAATCGAGAGAGACAAAAATATAAACTTTATGGAATCAAAATTGGGGTGAAATCTCTCTTTCCTCGACGCGCATTTCAATTTTCGAGCAATTTTCGAGAAATAATAATTACGAGAAGGATAAAATATCGGGGGAATGAAATATTATTTCGTTGGTTCGAGGAAATGTAAATGCGGTGTGAAATATTCGTATTCGACATCGGGCGAAAGATATCGATTTAATCAGATTCCGGTGGAGTTTAATCCGGGCGTACGTAGCAACGGAAGGATCGTCACCGAAGGCTATACGTATATCAAAAAAGACGTATATCGAACGGGGTGGCCCATTTGTCTACGTCTAAAACTTTCATTTCGGGCTACGAGGGATACGATCTCGTAAATTTTCCATACGTCCTACGTTCGTTTCGACTAGTTTTTCTATGTAAATGTAAATATCGAAAACTCGAGGCTGCTTTGCCCCCCCTCGATTGATCGATTAAATTCATAATTTATATATCCGATATATAACGCGTCGCGTGTCACGAGCGAGCAAACACTTACGCGATCGAGGGGAAAAATTTTACGTAATTTTTCGATCCGTTGATAAATGGGAAAGAAAAATCGAATCTAATCGTAAATTCTGGATGGAAAATTATTATCGATCGATATATAGATTTTGGCGGAACAGCAGCGGCCACGGCAATTTCCGCTATCGGGTCCAATGGTCATCGGTGGTATCTGGCCACGGTGGAAATTTAGGTCGGTGGAAATTCGGATAGACGGAATGGTTGGTGTCCGAGAAAGGATGTAATCGACACGGCGTGGAAGGACAGGATACGAAATTGTCAATGTGAATTTGAAACTCGTGGAATTAAAAACGTGGAGGAAAGAATTTTTGTATCGCAACGAGAAGAATCAATCCATCGAACGCGAAAGATCCACTTTTTCGCGATAACAAAATCCGAAATTCGATGGAAAATTTATCGTTATTTCTATTTTTTTGTCGAGATCGATCGAAAGGAATCGCGCGTGAAAATTTCGGATTTTTATCGGCGGCGATAGACGTTGTAGACAAACGTTACAGTAGAGACTCCCGTATCCGAGCTAACGGATAACGGAAATTTTCGAACGAGTAGAACGATTACTTTTTTTCGCGTTGAACTTCGTTTACTCGAGAAGAAACGAACAAAATCGACAGTTTCTTTCCACGTCCAAGCCCGTCCCGTATCTTTATTGCCGCTAAGTCGCGTAAATTTTTTTATTACGCAGGCAGCTGCGTAGAATCGCTAATTTTTTGCTACGTTCGTTTCACCTTGGAGATCTTTAACTACTTTTTGTATCTCTCTTCAAACTGGTTGAAACTAAACGCGTTTTCGTTTGCTCGCCATTTATTACATCTAAATACGTCGTATTTACGTTGTATTTGCGTTGTAAATATCCAAGTCGTATATACGCAAACATTGCTATGCGAAACGTTGTGCGCGGGTGAGAAAACATAGGGATAATAGAAGGTGTATTAGGTATTATTGGGTATATAATACTGGGAGGATACTGGAGTCTCTAGCGTAATTGGTGGATCGATGGTCGGAGCACGAATTCTAATGGAATCGATCTGTTTGTGCCTCTGCCAACCGTGTGGTCGTGTCTGTTGCGTTCCGGTAACGAATAATCGAAAAATGACGGGCCACCGAACGTATCGCCCGCATAAAATCTCGAAGGTAATGACCACATTGTCGGATATGGTGATGCAGTGTGGGGGCGGGGGCTGTTGCGTGTTGGAGCAGTGCTTTCAGTACCCGAGGAGAGCTCGAGAGCCCCGGGACTGCGGCTGCCAATTCGCTCTACTCCACAGGGCCGACATCGCGTGACCATCGGTACTTGCTAACAATCTCTATTTCTACTATTGCCTCTTCTTCTTCTTCTTCTTCTTCTTCTTCTTCTTCTTCTTCTTCTTCTTCTTCCTCCTCCTCCTCCTCTTCTTATTCTACCATTACCACTACTATTACTACCGTTACATCCTCTTTCCACTTCTTCTTCTTCTTCTTCGTCTTCTTCACGTATCCTTATTCAGCTGTCTCTCTCTTTCTCGTTTTCTCTTCTCAACTACTGTCACGATATGCCTTTCGTGTTCTGCTTTTACGATGTGTGCTTCACGCGCCTCTTTATTCCGCCCGACTGACTCCACTTTTCGCGATCTTCGAACACGAGGATACATCGAGTATAATCGAGTTTTTGTCTCCGATTAAGAATCGACCGACGAGGTGATTCGGATTTGCAGCGATCGTATCGAAATTCTTATTCGTTGATTTTCGATCGAGACGACGCGAATACCTTTCACGGACCAAGTACGACGAAAATCGATACGTAAAAATTGTATGTATATATATATATACACGACAACGATTCTCCTCGAGATAAGAAAAGAGCGGAAACCAAGAATCGAGGTGATCGGGGAAATTTTTCAGGCTTGCCAACTTTCATCGCTTTCACGATTGTTTGTAAGGGAAGAAACGAATCCAAACGAATTAAAGTAAAACATGGGCGATATGGGAGAGAAATGGCGTGTCTGAAATTTCTAACGAATCGCGTTATCGAGATATCGTTTCGATGTAATTGATGAGAAAGATCAGGTAAGTGGAAGAAGAGAAGTAAAATGGAAAATTACGACGGTTCGTTGAAAGAATAGTTTGTCGCAGGATTACATTTCGATACATGGTTGGATACGTGGTAAAAGTTTGTGTTTTGCGGTCAGCTTTCGAGTATTATTTCGCGCGCATATCTCACGTACGAACGTAGAAACGCTTTTGGATCAAACGCTTTTTGCGATGCATGCAATTTGTAACCGCCTAAACGCTACTCTCGTTACCTTTTTATATATAAATGATTTCTTTCTTCGCCAGTGCACGTATATTATTTTTCATCGAATGTAAATTCGCTTTGACGGTTTTTCCGATTCGACTCTTCTCGCGATGAAAAATGATTCCGAATATATAACCGCGGCGATTTCGAAGGGAACGGCTTGTAATAATTTACACGTACGATATCTCGTACATCGTCCAATATAGAAAAATTTGCATTCGCTTTGAGGTTGGCAAGCCGAAATATTATTTTTCCGATATTTTTCCATTGCTATGAAGCAATTTTAAAAAAAAAATTATTTTCGATTAAAACGCGAATTCTTGCAGAAGAAAAGAGAGAGAGAGAGAAAAGAATAGAAATAAAATTGTCGAACGCAGAAAGAAAGCAAATGTTCTTCGACTCGAGGGAAAAGATTAAAAGTTTATCGCGAATGGAGGAAAAAGTCGTTATCGTTACAAATTTACTTACTTACGCTTCCGTGAATTTTCATTAATTCTTCATCTCCTTTCCATCTCGTTTCCATCCTTTCTTCGTACGTATAAATGGATTTCCGACTCTTAAAAATATTTTCTCTCTCTCTCTCTCTCTCTCTCTTTTATTCATCGCGTTCGTAAAAATATCGTTTCGAGAAACAGTATAAGAGAGATGTAGAGTCAAATTTCACGATACGGGGGAAAATTTTCTTTCTCAAACCGTGTATACGGATTTCTGAAAAATACATCGAACGTGTTTTTCTTTTTCTTTCTCTCTTTCCAAAATTTTACCAACTATTACTCTTTTCAACCGGAAGAAAATATTCGCGGGACAATTTGGAGGAACGTCGCGTCTCTCGATTCTCTTCCTAAAATTCTCATCTAAAATTCGAACGTGACGCGAAATCTTTCGTGTGGCAACCGTGTATGTTGTGCATATACAGAAAAAGGTTCTTGCTTTCGCGCTCGCTCCTCTCAACCTTGATTTGCGCTCGTCGACGATCGTTTGATACAAAAACGCCCCGTCCTTTTATCCATCTCCTTTAAAAATTCCTTTAAAAGAGAGAGAAGAGAACCTCAACGATCCATCACCTCTCCCCTTTATTCCTTCGATCGATCGATCGATACGTGTCGATTCGTCGTACGTGTACACGTTTATTACGAGTAAAAAAGGTTTTGGAAAGTGGGGAACAGTCGGTTCGTTACGTGCAAAGGAAATGGAGAAACGTCCACTCGGCACGAGACCACGCTCGACTTATTTCGACCGATCCTCCAGTTCGATCGCACGACAAGTAGCGCCACCTTCGTAATATCGCTTGATACCGCTTCGATGATATCATTTCGACCGATTCCTCCGTTCGTTTTTTTTTTATTCCCGAATTATTTCATCTCTTTTGTTTCGAATTAATCGAATACGAGACGAACGAGAGAAAGTTTCGAGCCCGTTCGTATCGATGTTGTCCGCTCGTGGATGTAGCGTTTCGATACGAGGGGAGAGATGTCAAGAGGGAGGTTAGGTGATGAAAAGTTCGCGTACGTGTGTTGGTGATGCGACGTTTATACGAAAGAAGATTGGAAGAACGACGGCTAAATATATCTCGTCTCGAAGTTAGCGCAGAGGGGAGGGTAATAGCTTCCTGACCCAAATCTCTGGTAGAGAGGAGATCGGGATGTACCGAATAAAATAACGATTAAATAAATAACACGACCAATTATCGTCTCTCTCTCTCTCTCTCGAATCTCCTTCGATTCGTATCGTTTGACAACACATAAAAATTATCTCGAATCTTTCAACTTTACTCGCTACTATATGAACGAAACGAAACGCTTCGACTCATCGTCGATCTCGTTTCTTCGTTCGTAAGAAGTTTTATTAGAAAGTTTACCGAGGAGTTTTAAAAAGTTCTAACAATGCTAATAATCGTAAGTTTGTCAAAAGAATAATTGCAGGATATTGTTTCTACTCTCCCTACCTTCGATCGTTCTTTTATCGCAAATAATACACGTTTTTGATCCGCTTGGAATTAATCTGTGCACGATGCTTCGATTCCACGTATCGTTCAATCGCAATCGAGGGACGAGCACTTTGGCACGTTTGGCAAACCGATCCTTCCGCACGCAGGTACATCACAACGTGTGGACACGGATCGAACGAATCGAAAAGGAAAACGCACGCGCAACGGTTTTGACACACCGCAGCTTTTTTGACACACTGTGAGGGGGGAAAAAAAACGCTTGAGAACGCTTCTTACTCTACAATCCTTGGTGCAATTAATTATAGGTATAGATTTATGTACAATTTAACCCTTTGCACTCGTGCCATCCTACGTTTTATTATTTATTATTTTATTATACGTGTGTATATCAGTTGTGCGTGAGTTGAGAGGGGGCAGATCGAATATAAATGTAACGAGCGCGAAGGGTTAAGTTTGGAGAATGAAATCACGATCGACACACCGAATGAAGCACGATGTTATGTAACTCGTATGTAAGCGATGATACGAAATATTTTCTACTCGGATGAAATTACGCGTGTCGATCTCTTGCTGTGAAATAATTATTCGATGATAAATTTGTATCATCGAATCCCGCGGATTGTTTCGAATTTTGAAAAGGAAGGGAAAAAAAATATTACGCTTTTCATCCGAGGAAATGTGTGTGCACCGTAATTTTCGCGTTGCAAATCACGTTTACGATCGTTTGTTTGTTTTACTATGTAAAAGAGGAGAAGAATGTTGTGTAAAGCGTAAAGAAATATAAGGAATAATCGACGAGCGTTAAATATAAAAGAAATACACGAAAAAGTTTGAGAAACGGATCCTCCAGTCCGGAGATGGATAGAAATCAGGTTTCTGGAAAAATCGTTGATATTCTCCTAATATTTTCACTCTTACCCGCTAAAAATAGTATATCTTTATTCGTGAGATTTGCTTGCATGTCCTCGACAGGAATATAGGAAAAGGTAGAGAATTGTTTCTCGTCGTTCCACGTCGTAAATATGACGGGCAATTTGTTATTATTTATTTATAAAGAAAGACATGTCACGGAAATATAATACGAGTTTTAAATTTTAAAATGAAATTAGCATACGCGATATCGTAGAAGAGGAGGATCGAGATTCTATTCTTAGCGGGTAGATGTACATGGTTCGTCCCTTGTCTGCCTTGTCTCGGTCGAGATCACGCTTGTGAAAAATGAAAGTCACAAATGTTGAAAATGCAATTATTATTATTTGGATCCGGTGGTGGGGGACGAAAAAAGGGTGACGAAGGGTGATGAAGGGTGGCGTTGTTTTGCAGCATCTGCACTGGTCGAGCCATCACGTGGACTCGTTGGACAGCGGAGGCGGTTTCGGATGGGCGAGAACATCGAGGCCGCGGGTGAACAGCGCCATCGACGTAGCCGGCTTCCTATCCCAGGTATTCGATCCGAGGCTCGAACTTCCAACCGTTCCACCTTCCCTTTCGCGTACCCACAGTCGCGAACCAGGGATTCTTGGAAAAATTTTCAAACCTATTCGAAATAGGATAGAATCGATGGAAAAGGTATTTTCGATTTTCTTTCGTTCGGGATGAAAGAACGGAGATCTCGAATCTTTGGAAATTTCGAGGACGATATTCGAGGCGTTTGGGAGCATGCGAGTCAAGATATTGAAATATGTAAGCGCGAAGCGCGAAAGAGAGCGGTGTACAAAATAGATAGACACGTCAGAAACGTTAAAGTTCAAGGTAGTCGGAGGCGAGGTGTAGTTCACGGGTTGATCGATAAGCCTGTTCGTTTCGCTTCTACGTACCGAACGTACCGATGCTTCGAATTCGTTTTTTCCCCTCGCGGTAATCGCCACGCGCAATTTTTCCGTTTTTATAACCGCGAATTTTTCACGCGCGACGTGCCCGCATGCACTCGCTCGTTGGATCCGTATCGGTCGATAAATACGCATTCGGCGTGATAAATTCGTCTCTTTCGTCGAGAGCGAACGAGAGGAGGAAGGAAGGAAGGAAGGAAGGAAGGAAGGAAGAAAGGAACGAAACGGGGAAAAAGAAGAAAGAAAATTTACGTTTTTCTTCGAGTATCGAACTCCAATTTTTTATTTTCGCGAGTGAGAAAAGGAAAAAAAAAAAGAGAAGAAGGGCGTTCTTCCGTTCCGATCGGGTTCGAAATAACGGTTTTACGAACGCACGGGGAACGACGTTACCGACTCTGCCCGCAATGCGGTTTCGCTGGAATTTTCAGGAATTTTTAAGACGACACGGTTCCACGTCGAAATTGTGCCGGAAGGTTCGCAGTGCGGATAATTTACCCCTGGCGTCCTCGAATCGACAAGATCAACGGAATTCGAAGGAGGAGGGGATGGACGGAGACAAAGAGTCTTTCCTGAGATCGACCCAAGAGGAGAAATCCGAGGATTTGGAATCGAAGAGGCACAGCAGTTTGGAGAGTTGTCCGAAGGACAATCCGGACATCTCGTTGCTCGATCCCAATCATCAACAACAATCTTCCAGGTAATTTTCAGGTTCGCGAGCGGGAAGGGAAAAGTGTTCTTCTGCGATCTTATCGATCGAACGAACGCTCGATCGGTATAGAGTTTTTGTAATCACGATTATCACGCAGTTCAACAGGGATGTAAATCGATAAATTTTTACATCTTGCAGTAGCTTCAGCGTGGAAAACGAAAGGGGGGGGGGGGAAAGAATCGTTGTTGTCTTTCTCGAAAGATTATTCTTTTTTTTTTTTTTGTAAATAAGAATTTTCGCAAGTTGAATTACGCGTCAAAGTTTATTTTCCATCGAGTGAAACTTTTAAATCTGAGAGGTGGAAAAGTTCAAGTTGGAAAATTCACGGGGAAAATTTCTCTTTCGACTATCTTAATATCCGACCGAAAGTTAATTAGATATCGGATAATTAATAGAGTTAACGAGAATCTTTTAAATCTCTCTCTCTCTCTCCCCGGTTATCCAAGATTATCGAAACGATTGATAATTTTATAACGAGCTTGTTATTAAGAATAACGAAGCTTGTAGAATTTTTCTCGTCGCAAAAATTTCTCTCCATCGTAGACGCATCGCTCGTATAAATCTTTCGTATTCCTTTTTCTCTTCGAAGTCCCTTCTTTCCAATTCCTTTCCGCGCGGAAAGAAACGTGCGAATATTCGCGAAAGGGAATAAAACACGAACGTGTTGCTTCTCGAACGAAACTGTGCACAGATGGCGCGCGAATCGTGCTAATCGAATAATACGAATTTCCCGACTAACGATAAGAAGCGGGATAGATCCATCGTTATCGATGATGCGTTCCACTTTTCTTACGAATTCTTTTTTTTTTTTTTTTTTCAACTTACGTAAGCGTATTAAACCCAAAAAAACGATACACGGTTACGTGTATCTGTTCGATGATTACGTAAAACGTTGCGATCTTACTTACGCAATATTCTTTTCGCGATCGATACGTAATAATAACAACAAGGATAAAACGTTGCAACGTAAAAGGCGTACCGCCCCTTCGTTTTATATTATTTCGATCGCGAAACGAGGATGTAAAAAAAAAAAAGAAAAAAAGAATTTGGCGCGAACGTTTCAGGGATTCCCCGATCACGTGTTCGTCGTCGTTGGTCGGCCGACGTTTCGGTGGATGGCGAGCAGGCGGGAGTCACGAATACGTTCGATGTCCCGTGCGACAACCGGCTTCCATGGACGAGAGGTAAGAGAAGAGAGATATCTCCTTCGTCGACAACTCTTCGATCGATATATATATATATATGGAGGTGACGACGATGGAGAAAGATCTCCTCGAGATGGATGAATGAAAGGGGAGGATAAAATCGGCAGGTATTGTCGGCGTTCCGGGGAAACGGAGGGTCGGCCGACGATCGGCCGCTATCATCATTATCATCGGAGGGGAGGGATCGAGCGACACTCGAAGAGCTGCGACTACGCGACGAAACGAACGACGGCCGAATCGAGCATCGAGGTTCAGCACTTCGGCCTTCCTATACTGAGCGTGAGCGAGCCCAGCCCGCCGGACGAGAACGACCGCGTCGACGATTATTTGTAGGACTTGCTTGCCGAGGACTTCCTCAAGGAGCTCCTCGTATGACCGTCCCCTAATCTCCCCGAGTCCCCCACCACTCCTTCCTCGCGAAAATTCCAACCGTGAAAAATAAAGAGAGGAAGAAGTTGGATATTTCCAATTCGAATTCGCGCCCGACACAATCGAGAGTGTTATTCCGATTCCAGATGATCGTACAATGTCAATTTCGATGATATACATATATATATATTTTTTTTTCCTCGATTCGCCGTGTGATAGATCGATATTCGTTTCCAAGATATCGCGTAATAGATGTTTCGTGTGACTCTACTACCTTCGTTTCGACCGCCCCTCGTGTCTTCACGCTCGTGTCAATAGCGTGTCCTCTGGTTTCGAAAGAAAGAAAGGAAAATTTGAATTCGATTAATTTTTTTGAATATTCGATCGAGTATCAAGATGCGATGTATCAAGCGTTGACGAATGTCCACATATCCGATAATATATAACACGGCACGATCATCGTGATAAAAAAGCTCGAAATTCCGATAGATATTTAAATAACGAAGCGAGAATCGTATTAATCGTGTCCAACTCGGTGATATATATATATATATTTCGATTTCTCTCCTTTGCTTTTCTCTCCTTTCATCGATACGATAATCGAGCAATAGTATCGATCGTTGTCGCGAGCTATCCTATTATGGAGGGTATAGCGCTATTTTAAACATGGGTGTATAAACGAGTAAATAAAATTTTAAATAATTTTTATGAACGATCAATGATAATTGTTCTACAAGAGCTTCGAGAATTTTACGTCCAACTTACGATCTTATATATACATATTATATATATATATATATATAGGCGAGAACGAACGATATTATACCCTGCGTTTCTTCTTTTCTTCTCAAATTTTCCTTTTATCGTCGAAAGTTTGAAATTTATCCGTCACTTGCGATTAGATTAAAAATATGTGCGACAGAGTTCAATTACGCTTACTTTTATTCGTATATCGCGCGCATCTTGAACATCGAATCATCGATGAGAGCTTATCGATTAGATCGAAATTTTAATTCGAGTATTTTTATCGCCTGTTTAAACTCGGACCAATCGGTGCGATACAAAGGGGGCCATAATTTCCTGTTTCCGTGTTACGTTTTGCGATCGCACACTTGGGAAAAGGGAAAATTTTCGTTTGAAAAGAGATCGTAATCGCTTTGCTTTGTTTGAATCATACCGGTAGGAGACGACCGAGGTAGAATATCGTCAAATTCGGGGACCAAATAAATAGTTGTAAACGTAATACCGACGAATCAATTAATTTTTCTTTTATTTTTATATTCTCCCTTTCTTTCCACGTCGCTATTTACGTTTCTATTTTGCATTTCTAATTTAATTCTCATCGTTCGAAATACGCATCGAATCGGACGAGGACGAAAGGAGAATATTGAATCAAGGTTGATGGGAAAAAACGACGAATCGCGGCTTAGTTCAATTTCCAACATCTTCTTTTCTTTTCTTTTTTTTTTTTTTTTTTTTTTTTTCTTTTTCATTTCTCACGCGAGCGTGTAATATTCTTTGAATCGAAAAATAAATAAAGCAGTTTTGCCGAGCGCGAATGATGAGATAAAATATCATCTCAAAAATCTCGGAATTTTTTTCCAACCAACCTAACAACGTCTCTTTCATAAATTGCATATCATGTATTGTCTGTCGTGCGAGGTTAAGTATCCTCCAACGATGAAGATAAAAACCGACCAATCGAATTGCGAATCAATTTTAAACGGACAATTACCTACTGTATAAAGTTGAACACGTGTGTATATATTTATACATACAAATGTAGAAAGATGAAAAAAAAAAAATATGTGATATATCGTAGAGAAATGTTTTATTTCTTTTTTTTTTTTTTTTTTTTGAAAAAAAAAATCCGCAATTCGTGAAAATTGAAATTGAATATATTACTATACATTGGATAATTGGAATGATCGTTTCGTTTGTAATTTCATCTATATTCATCTATTTTCGATAGAACAGAGGATAAAGAAGGAGTTTGATCGCGAGTGTGACCAACTGTGAATACTGTCGCACGTATCAATCCAACCTGTGTGTGGACGACTAAATACGCGATGTGTCGCGTGTCACATATAGATAATATTATTATATACCAGTTATAAAAGCGAATCGATAGTGCAACCTTAACTCTTACGATCGACACGATTCTCCTACCTTCTAATTTTTCTCTTTTTTTTTTTATTCAATCGCGATCGAGTACCACCCTCGTCTACCTACCTACCTACCTACCTACCTATCCACCTTCCTTCTTCTTCTTCAAAAATATTCTGTGTAAATATAATCGTGTTTTTTTCACACAATCGGATATAATGATACGATATTTTTAACTCGTTTACATTGAATAGGATAATTATAATTTCTTGATTCTTCGTTCGACGAGGAAAGATTGGCCGACGAATGATAAAATAATAATAATAATAATAATAACAATTATTATTTCGTACGAAACGAAGAAGATGAATTGAGATCGAACGAAGAATCAAGCGATATATATATATATATATATACATAGATATAAGAAAATTTCAGAATCACCGAATTCTATATGATATAACGAACGAAGATTTATATATGTGTATATATATATATATATATATATATATTGTATGTATCTATAAATATCTCTTATAATCGTACGTACCTCGTAGCGAAAGATATAATCGATGGTTTAATAGGTGATCATATTATTTTTATTGCGAAGTAAGTACGCGCGAGAAGAAGAACGCGCCACTTTTGCCGTAAACAAAAATTGTTTTAATATACGAATCGTGTATATATACGTATAAGTGGGGGGGGGGACTCATGCTGAAATTCATTTATCGATTAAAAAATTGATTTAATTATCCGAGCTGTACGCGTGTAGAGACAACGAACGAATAATGCACACACACACACACACACACACACACACACACACACACACACA